TGCCCTTCTTATCGGCTTTCTTGAGAAGACTGTGGATCTTAGTAGTATTCACGACGTGCGCGCATCAAGCGACCTTACTCCATGAGGATCAATTTATTGAGATGCGCGCCTCTACACTCTTCGATTTCGCGTTCTTTACAGAGCTTCTTGAGTTCTTCTACACTCAAGCTCTCGTACCATTCGTTGTCTTTTTCATTCTCTCTCCCATCCGCGATCTTCTTCACTGACTGACTTGGGGGCTCGGAGCCGCGTTCGCTTGCGACGGCGACAGTGGGCGCTTTTCACTAGACATGATGAATAAGATGCAATCAATACGATTGACCTGGGTTTGTCTTTAAATTGACAACGCTCGGTGAGCATAGGAGTAATGCTACGTCATTTTGACAACGCGCGCCGTTGATCGCTGTTGATCGTCGAACACGAAACTGCCACGCGATCCCGTGATCAGCGGGCTAAGCACATCGTCGCGCGACAACTCCATGACCATCTTCCCTGCACGCTACATCTTTTGCTGGACGCACATGAATGCTTGAACACAACAACGACGCAAGCGTATACCCACGCCGTCTTGATGCACCTATACTCAGGCACCATTGAAGGCAGTGTAGCTTCGAACCAATCAGACCTGGCTCCGTGGGATCTCCGGGTACCCGCTTAAGCGAATGAAGCGCACAATCGATGACCGCATTATAAGCAAATTATGCGCCACAACCGCGGAAAAATCGAGTTGAGCCAAACAGTTCTGTAGGCTTTGACTGATTGGTTGTGTAGTGTAGTGGTAATCACTCCGGATTTTGATATATCTCAAAAGCTTCCGGCAACCCCGGTTCGAACCCGGGCACGACCTCATTTATTGCTCCTGGTACGGTCCCACTGGATCATTCGAGCTTTTTGCACCACCAACCCTCTAGAGGCCTTTCCATACCCACGGAACAGTCTTGCCAGAAGCATTATTGCGACCACATCAAGAAATATAATATTGTGCTCTTGACAGTGTGCCGCTAGAACGGAACGGAAAGATCGAGTGCAAGTAGGGAGAACATGGCCTGACGATTCTCGAGACAAGTTACAAGATCAATCATGTCTGCAGTCGATGACAAAGAG